CATGTTGGCCAGGCTGCTTTTGAACTTCTGACCTCAAGTGATTGGCACGCTTTGGCCTCCCAAAGTGCTAGGATTACAGGCATGAGGCACCATGCCTGGCTGATACACTTATTTTAATTCAAAATGATCTACAGGACTATGTTCTAATTATTATTATTTTTGAGATGGAGTCTAACTCTGTCACCCAGGCTGGAGTGCAATGGTGCAATCTCAGCTCACTGCAACCTCCACCTCCCTGGTTCAAGCGATTCTCCTGCTTCAGCCTCCCGAGTAGCTGGGATTACAGGCACCCACCACCACACCTGGCTAATTTTTGTATTTTTAGTAGAGATGGGGTTTCACCATGTTGGTCAGGCTGGTCTTGAACTCCCAACCTCAAGCAATCCACCCGTCTTGGCTTCCCAAAGTGTTGGGATTGCAGGCATGAGCCACCATGCCCAGCCTATGTTCTAATTATTTAGCAAGCAAAAGATAAGCAAACACAGTTAATGAAATACCTTAAGAGATGTTTATTGTCTATAAGTACTTTCAGATAATCTGCCAGTTTCTTTTGCATGAGTGCAATATACAGCCAAGCTTGGCCTCTTCCCACAGCTGTCCTAGAATTCAAACAGAAAATCAAACTATTGTGGCATAACAACAACATAGAAAAGAAACCGGATTTAGCCAGGAAAATACATATGATTCACAGCCTTGTAAATGCAGAGGATACTCTAAGAATAGCTGTTGGGGAGGGATGCACACGGCCTGGGCAGGCAGAGAAAATGGCTCAAAACACACCTTTGGGTATTACTACAAATACAATTAGATACTGTATTTGCAATAATACAATATCTAGGCTCAAACTCTTGGGCTCAAGCAATCTTTCTGCCTTGGCCTCTCAAACTGTTGGGATTATAGGCGGGAGCCACTGTGCCCAGCCAACTGTGCTATTTTCTAATGACAATCTGCTTTGCTTATATTCAAAAAATATCACAGGAAGAGATCAGGTCAGAATTGTGTAATGGAGAAACATTCTTTCAAAAGACTAATAGAGAACTTAGTACTTGTTAAAGTGCTGAAGCTCATAAAATCTCTAAGGGGTTAGCTCAAAGGTATAACCATTTTGAGATAGAGTCTTGCTCTGTCGCCCAGGCTGGAGTGCAGTGGTGTGATGTCAGCTCACTGCAACCTCCGCCTGTTGGATTCAAGCGATTCTCATGCCTCAGCCTCCAAGCAGCTGGGATTACAGGCATGTGCCACCGTACCTGGCTAATTTTTGTGTATTTAGTAGAGGCAGGGTCTTGCCATGTTGGTCAGGCTGGTTTCAAACTCCCTGCCTCAAGTGATCGGCCTGTCTTGGCATACCAAAGTACTGGGATTACAGGCATGAGCCACTGCACCTGGCCTCAAAGGTACAATTTTATGTTTTACTATTAATTGGGGTAAAATACATAGAACATAAAATTAACCGTCTTAATCATTTTTAGTCTCATAGTTAAGTAGTGTTAAGTACACTCACAATGTTGTGCAACCAATCTTTATTTTTTTTTGAGATGGAGTCTCACTCTGCCACCAAGGCTAGATAGAGTGTAGTGGCAAGATAACTTACTGGCGTGATCTCGGCTCACTGCATCCTCCACCTCCTGGGTTCAAGTGATTCTCCTGCTCAGACTCCCGGCCTCCCAAGTAGCTGGGATTACAGGCACATGCCACCATGCCCGGCTAAGTTTTATATTTTTAGTAGAGATGGGGGCTTATCATGTTGGCCAGGTTAGTCTCTGACTCCTGACCTCAAGTGATCTGCCTACCTTGGCCTCCCAAACTGCTGGGATTACAACTGTGAGCCACTGCACCTGGCCCTAATCTTAAAGGTGTAATTTTTCTGCATCCCAGCATTATCTCCAGAGAAATAGAAAAGAAGAGAAGAGGAAAGAAAAGAAGAGAGAAAAAGAAAAGAAAGGAAAAAAGGAACAGGCCTGCATAAACATTAAAAGAAAAAAGGCCTCTCAAGTGCTACTTGGTGAGACTGTAAACTTTCCAACTTCTTTTTTTTTTTTTTTTTTTTTTTGAGAAAGGGTCTTGCTCAGTTGCCCATGCTGTTGTGCAATGGAATGATCATGGCTCACTGCAGCCTCCAACTCCCAGGCTCAAGTGATAATCCTGTGTTAAGCCTCTGGTGTAGCTGGGACAGTAGGCACACGCTATCATGCCCAGCTAATTTTTTTTTTTGTAGAGATAGGGTTTTGCCATGTTGTCAAGGCTGGTTTCAAACTCTTGGGCTCAAGCAATCTTCCTGCCTTGGCCTCTCAAAGTGTTGGGATTATAGGCATGAGCCACTGGGCCCAGCCAACTGTGCAATTTTCTAGCGGCAATTTGATGACAAGAGGTTACCAAAATTCTACATCTAGTAATATATCCTAGGGAAATAACTGAAGATGGACACAAAGATGTATGTTTGGGGATGGTTATCAGATCATTATCATGGTTTATGGTACCGAGAATTTGAAGACAGCCACAAGGGCTAAATTAGCTATATAACAGAATATGATTTGGCCATTTAAAAAATGATACTGTAGATGAATATTTAATACACAAAGAGATTTAAAATCTAATATTAAGTAGAATAAATGAAAAAAGGCTACAAAAACAGTATATGCACTTTAATGCTGCATTATTTTTGAATGGGCAATATCTTCACTTGGTTTGAAACCTAGAAAGTAGGCTGGGCACAGTGGATCATCTGAGGCCAGGAGCTCAACACCAGCCTGGCCAACATGGTAAAACCCCATCTCAACTAGAAATACAAAAATTATTTGGGTATGGTGACTCATGCCTGTAATCCCAGCTACTCAGGAAGCTGAGGGGTGAGAATCACTTGAGCCCAGGAGATAGAGTCTGCAGTGAGCCAAGATCATGCCACTGTGCTCCAGCCTGGGTGACACAGTGAGAATCCGTTTCA